GAAGAAGAGGAGGAAGAGGAGGAAAAAGACGCAAAGGAAGAGGAGGAAGAGGACGCAGAGGAAGAGGAGGAAGAGAGGACGATGCCATGGACGGCGCTCCGAAAGCGAACAGGAAGAGGCCAGCAGCAGCGATTGGAATCGACGCTACCGACGATGTTGGGCCGAAAGTGAAGAGGCCAGCAGCAGCGACTCGAGATGATGGCGACGATGGCGAGGGAGAGCCCCCACGCAGCAAGAAGCCAGCAGGAGCGACTGCATATGATGACGAGGACGAGGGAGAGCCCCCATGCAGCAAGAAGCCAGGCGCATCGACAGCAGAAGATGATGATGACGAGGGCGAGGAAGAGCCCCAGTGCAGCAAGAAGCCAGCAGGAGCGACTGCAGAAGATGATGATGATGATGATGATGATGATGATGATGATGACGAGGAGGAGGCCCCATGCAGCAAAAAGCCAGCAGGAGCAGCTGCAGAAGATGGCGATGGCGAGGAGGAGGAGGAGGCCCCATGCAGCAAGAAGCCAGCAGCAGCCCCCGCAGCAATGAAGTCGCCAGAAAGAGCCCCAGCAGGCGCCGCCAGCGCCCCAGCAGCAGCGCCGCCAGCAGCGGCACAGGACACGCGTTGAAAAATGTCTTACGGAGAAAAGGGGCAGGGAGGAGGAGGAGGGGAAGATCGGAGGAATGCGCAGGGGAAGGGGGAGTCCGGGTGCGGGGGGCGGAGGCTCAAGGGCTCAACGGCTGCGTGGGGGCTCAACGGGGCGCGCGTTGACCCAGCGAGCTCTCGCTTCGCCTCGGAGTGGCGGAGGGCAGGGGCCCAGTGCATCAACGCCGCCGTCGTTGAGCACCCATTGAGCCATTGAGCCGTTGAGCCCGTCTGCCTCGTAGGCTGGATTTGCGCCCCCGCCAGGATGAGGACTTCACGGGCGAGGGCCCGCCTGGTGGCTTCATGATGGGCGAGGCCCCTCCCATCTCATCCAATTCCTCACCCTCCTCCTCCTCCTCCTCCTCCTCCTCCTCCCTCCCTCCTTCTATCCCTCCTCCTCCCTCTCCCCTCCCTCTCCCCTCCCCCTCCTCCTCCTCCTCCTCCTCCTCCTCCTCCTCCTTCTCCTCCTCCCTCCTTCTCTCCCTATTCCTTCTTCCCCTCTCCGTCCTACTCATCCTTCTTCCCCCTCCTTTCCCTCCTCCTTCTCCCCCTCTCCATCCGCTTCCTCCCCCTCCTCCTCCTCCTCCTCCTCCTCCTCCTCCTCCCCTTCCTCATCTCCCCCCCTTCCCTCCCCCCCCCCCCCCCCCCCCCCCTCTTCGAGGCCCAGGTGACGAGCGGCCCGATCAGCATCGTGATGGGCTTCGCCAATGGCAGCTTTGGGTGATCCAGGCTCTGGGGGGCGGAGGTCGAATGAGGCTGGAGGAGCGAGGAAAGAACGAAGCGGGATGGAAAACGGAAATGTGAGGGGTGGAGGGAGGGAGGGAGGGCACGGATGGACGGGAGGAATGGGTAGAGAGGGAGGGAAGGAGGAGGGTAGAGGGTAGGAGTGAGGGGGGTGGAGGAGGATTGGAGGGGAGGGAGGGACGGGGGGCAGGGTAGGGCGGAGGAAGGGAGGAGGGATGGGGGGGAGGAGGGGGGCTTCTGAACCCCAGACAGGCTCGCCACGGCCGCGGGCGCCCGCGGCGCCGTCTGGAGCGACGAGGGCTGGAGGCGGTGTCCAAAGAGTCCTCCTTCCCCCTCCTCCTCCTCCTCCTCCACCCCTCCCTCCTCCTCCTCCTCCTCCTCCTCCTCCTCCTCCTCCCATCCTCCGCCCCGCCCTCCTCCTCCATGACCTCCCCCTCGTCCCCTCCTCTCTCCCTCCTCCTCCTCCTCCCTCCTCCTCCCTATCCTCTTCCATTGCCCCCCCCCTCGTCCTCCTCCTCTTCCTGCACTTCTTTTAACCATTATCTACTCCTCCCTACCCTCGTTCAACCATTGCCCGCTTCTCTACTCCAGATTTCGCAATAAAAGGGAGGGGGTCACAATCCTCCCAGACGAGAAGTTTTAGACCCTCCCAGACCGTCCATGGAAGGGCGGCCCTTTGCCCAGACCCCCCGAACCCTCCAAGACAGTTCAAATCAGACCCCCCCCGAAATGAGCTCCCCCTTCTTTATTGCGAAATCTGGAGCACCGCCCTCCGCAACAGCAAGGGCCCCCACGAGGGCGCGAAGATATTCGCGCTTCGCGGTTCGCGGCCCTCATTCCTTCCCCTCTTGGGGGGGGGGGAGGGGGGGGCGGCGCGAGAGAGCGAAGTTATTCGCGCTTCGCGCAGCGCGAAGCGCGAAGTTTGGTGCCATGGCAACAGCAACCATGCCACGCTAGCCGAAGCACTTTGGCACATGCCGACGAAGTGGCAAGGGGTGCCCGTCCCGAAACGGGCGTGGCACACACCGCTCGGCCGCGCATTCCGTCGCTCGGGAATGGCCGGTACGGCCGCGGCCCCGCCCGTCGCTGCTGCGACGGTTGCAGCCTCGTCGGGTGCGGATTCCCAGGCGACTGAAAATCCCCCCCCCCCCTGGGGTCAGGATCCTGGCAGATCGGGGGTCGACATGGGAGCAGCGCAATGTTTCGCCCGCCTCCCAGGACAGCCGCGGGAACGAGAGCGGCGGCGCCTGCGAGCCGCCCCGCGACGTGCCGCGGCCCCCCCCCCCCGGAGGGCGCGGGCCGTGTCCTCCAGGCTCGCCGTGCCCGCCACCGCCGCCGCCGCACCGAGCCGCCGTCGTCGGCGACTGAGTTGACTACCTACCAAACCACCCAACCCAACCCGAAGACCCGAATTTCAGGTTGGGGGGGGGCACGAGCTTCATGTGTGTTTTCTCAACGTTCCCCGACCCCCCCCAATTGGAAATGGAGGGCAAATTGGGGCCTTCGGGTTGGGTTGGGGTGGTTTGGTGGGCGGTGATGAGTCCGCGGAGGAGGACGAGCCCACCGCCAAGGCCGAGGCAAGCGCCACGGCCGACGGCGGCGCGGGCGCCACGGGTTCGGCAGGCGCGAGCCGCGCCGAGGCTGGCGCGAGGGCGGGCGCAGGGGTCGCCGCGTCGGGGAGGACCGACGAGACGGCGGTCGCCCGGCGCACGATGGGCTTGCCTGGCGAGCCGCCCCGCCATCTTCCCGACAGCGACTACGCGGCCATGATGAAGGGGAAGTTCAAAAAGGAAGCGGCCGAGAGGGAGGCAGCCCAGGCGGCCCAGGTGCAGGCAGCCCAGGCGGAGGCAGCCGAGAACGAGGCGGCGGTGAAGGAGGCAGCCCAGAAGGAGGCAGCCGGGCAGGAGGCAGCCCAGGCGACGGCAGCCCAGGCGGATGCAGGCAAGCAGGAGGCGGCGGCGAAGGAGGCAGCCCAGAGGGCAGCCGAGCAGGAGGCGGCGGCGAAGGAGGCAGCCCAGAGGGCAGCCGAGCAAGAGGCGGCGGCGAAGGATGCAGCCCAGAGGGCCGCCGCCCAGGCAGCGGAGCAGCCAGCGCAGGCTGCGCCCCAGCAGCAGCAGCAGCAGCCGCCGCAGGCTGTGCCCCAGCAGCAGCAGCAGTCACCGCAGGCTGTGCCCCAGCAGCATCAGCCCTTCGGATTTGGCATGGACTTCTCCGACTTCTTCAACACCAACGGCGGCGAGGATCTCCAGCCGAGCAGGAGGCAGCCCAGGCGACGGCAGCCCAGGCGGAGGCAGGCAATCAGGAGGCGGCGGCGAAGGAGGCAGCCCAGAGGGCAGCCGAGCAGGAGGCGGCGGCGAAGGAGGCAGCCCAGAGGGCAGCCGAGCAGGAGGCGGCGGCGAAGGATGCAGCCCAGAGGGCCGCCGCCCAGGCAGCGGAGCAGCCAGCGCAGGCTGCGCCCCAGCAGCAGCAGCAGCAGCAGCAGCCGCAGGCTGTGCCCCAGCAGCAGCAGCAGCAGCAGCAGCCGCAGGCTGTGCCCCAGCAGCAGCAGCAGCAGCCACCGCAGGCTGTGCCCCAGCAGCATCAGCCCTTCGAATTTGGCATGGACTTCTCCGACTTCTTCAACACCAGCGGCGGCGACGATCTCGACAATAAGATAGCCTCGCAGGCGGCGAAGCTAGCAGCAGCTGTCGACGATGATGTGATGTGCAACGAGCTGGGCGAGATCTACAAGTCGCCTTCGTGGAGCTCCTACACGTCCACGGAGGCCGAGCTCGACGGGCAAGAGGTCGACCCCGACAACTGCACCATTGACGCCGACATGAAGGACGCAGAGTTTTGGGAGAGCATGCGAGCCAAGAACTGGATGTTCAACGCGAGGGGCGCCGCGGGCAATGCCGCAGGTGGGGCGGAGCGAGAATGACGGGGATGGGAGGGGTGAGGATGAGGAAGATGGATGATGAGGAGGATGAGGGGGATGAGGAGGATGAGGAGGATGGAGGAGGGGGATGAGGAGGATGCGGATGATGAGGAGGATGAGGAGGTCGAGTCAGCAAAACCAATATGACACCACAGGTGGCCGCTGGCAACGGCACATCACGGGGAAGGGCGCTCAGAGCAAGGCCGACAAGAAGGAGTGCGACAAGCTGAGCGGCAACCAGGACGCCCAGGCAAAGTTCAGGGCGCAGTGGCTCAAGAGCACCTTCAAGCATAAGATGCAGGAGAGGGTCCACACGAAGCAGTTCCGCAAGCGCGTCTACAAGGACGGCAGGTACCTGACAGCCAACAGGATCATCGCGGAGGAGGGCGGCGGCAAGCGCGGCTCCAGGAGCTGCGCCAACTACTGCCTCAAGTGTTTGGCCATCGGCGCGCCATTCGTCAGCGGGCGCGAATCCCTGCCACCGTCCACCCTCCCCCCCCGAACGGGGGGAGTGATGTGGCAGTGCCTTCTGCTCTCCCCCGTCCTCCCTCTCCTCCTTCTCCTTCTCCTCCTCCTCCTCCTCCTCCTCCTCCTCCTTCTCTTCCTCCTCCTCCTCCTCCCCCCGCCGCCCCCCCCCTTCTCCTCCTTGGCCCGCCCGTGGGGGCCCAAGAGGGTAGTAGTGATGCGCTTCTCTTTCAGGTCAAATATTGCAGCTGGCGCAAAGACCTCGTCTTCTTGTATTTCATCGAGGGCGTGGAGGAGGATTTCACGGAGGTCTGGGCGTTGACGAAGAAGTTCTTCGAACAGGCTGAGGGCCCCGCGCAGACCCGCGCGGCCGCGAGCAACCAGGAGAGCGACGCCGCGACGATCGATATCTTTGACACCGCGCGCCAGCAGGGCGAGGCGGAGGATGAGGCGGCGCTGAAGCACGAGGAGGAGCGCCAGGCAACGGAGCAGGCGGCGCAGAGGCGTGAGGCAGAGGAGCAGGCGGCGCGGGAGGCGTCCAAGCGAACTGGCGCTGAGGACGCTAGCTCTGGCCCCCGCTCGAAGCGTGCGAAGAAGAGCGACGGCGCGGCAGGAGGTGCCCCTGGGGAGGGGCCTGCAGCCGCGCCAGGAACCGACGCCGCCCCCCACAAGAAGAAGGCGAAGAGGGGGCAGACGCCGCTCCAGAAGGCGATGGCCGAGGCGAAACTGGTGCTCCAGATGCACGGCCAGGTGGCGGCGTCTGCAACGACCTTGAGCAATGCGATTGCCAAGGCGGAGGCGAAGTGGGCCTTTGCCAATTCGCCCGAGGTGCTCAAGCCCTTCACCAAGGCGAACGACAAGCTGAGGAGGACGATCGACAGCAAGCCCGCCTTCACGGAGTTCCTGTGCGCCCGCGACCTCGGCGAGCTCCAAGCAGCGGCAAAGAAGAAGGACGGCCTGAATGATTTGCAGGCCGACCTGGAGTCGTTCGCCAAGCTGGTCAACCCGTGTTTGGAGGAGATCCAGCTCGAGACGAGGCCGCTGGTCAGCACGGCGGAGACGAGGGAGGAGGAGAAGGCCAAGGCGGCCGCGGCCAAGGCGGGCAAGACCAACAAGGGCCCCAAGAAGCCTCGCAAGAGCAAGGCGGCGACGGCGGAGTCGTGAGCATCGCCAAGGACTTGCACCGCGGTTCTGGGTGCCGAGTGGCCTCGTGTATATCGTGGCCTGCCGGGGGGCGCGGTGCCCTCTCGTCCCTATCCTCCTCCTCTTCCTCCTCCTCCTCATCGTCTCCCTGCTGCTTATCCTCCTCCTTCACCTCTCCCTCGCCCTCGTCCTCAATTATGTGATGCCCCTCCTTCCTCCTCCTAATGCCTTTTCTGTTAAACTCCTCGTCCTCGTCCTGGTCCTCCTCCTCCTCCCCCTCCTCCCCCTCCACCTCCTCCTCCTCCTCCTTGCGCGCCATCCCCAGGGGGGGGGGGGGGGGCATGAGGGAGTAGGGAGTGGCATGCCATATACCTCGTCAAGGGCTACGCGGCGAACTATCGAGCGCTGCAACTTCACGCGCTCGCTGGGCTGGGGATCAAAGACTCAACGGTCAACGATTTCCGGCATTGGGGCTTCGGCCCCCTCCGAACCCGTCCCAGACGTCCCAGACGTCCCAGACGGGTCAACGGGTCAACGGGTCAACGGGTCAACGGGCGCGCATGCCCGCCCCGGCCGCCCTGGGCCCGGCCCCCGCCGCCCTGGACCAGCCAAACCGGGCTCAACGCTACCGTTGAGCGCCCCCCCCGTTGACCCGTTGATCTTTGCAGGAAAACCTGATAACATACACCAAAACGAAGCTCAGCGCCCTATCGTTGAGCCCCCGTTGAGCCGTTGAGCCCTGGGGCGCTCTGAGGGCGGCGGCGCTTCGAGCTGCAAGAGTGAGTAAACGCGGCATCGGATGCAAGAGGGCATGTCGATCTCATGTTGCCCCCTGGGCGTGGATCTGCCCCGATATTCGGGCAGATCGACCAAGGGGGAACAACGTAAGATTGACATGCTCTTTCCTTCAAGATTCCATCAAGTTCAAAGCGAGGAGGAGGGGGGGGGGGGGGCGGGCGCCTTTTCGAAACCCGCTCAGGACATCGGCCGCTGCGCAACTTCAACACGCAGCTCGCTGAGGTGCCCTCTGCCGCGCAGTTTCGCGCCCCGAGCGCCCCAGACATTTCGAGAGAGGGGTTGAGAGAGGAGGGGTGAGGAGGGGGGGGGGATGAGGAGGGGGGAGGGATGGAGAGACGGAGGGGGAGCGGGAGGGGCTTGGGAGGGAGATAGTGACATGGGAGAGATATCGATAATGATGGGACGCGCGGATCTGGACTGGCCGCGCCTTCGTGTGTGCTTCGGCCAGAGCTTTGACTAGACGTTCACCGCCATTATGGCGAACTGCAGTGCGAGCGCCCGCAGCATCAGACATCAGATAACATATCCACAGAAACCAGCGGGGTTCAAGGTTCAATGCGAGGGGCGCTGGGCTGCTGGCTCGGAACGCGCGCGCGTCGCTCTTTTGAAGATTTGGCGGCGGTGCAGTCAGCTGCGCCGCCGTCTCGGGACAGGCCCCGCTCGGGGCAGCGTGCATCCAGTCGTGCGAATGGATGGTAAACGAGCCAACAGACAGCTGGTACGAGGGTTCAGAACAACCATGGTTTCGGAAGGGGCGCCCTTATGTCCTTCGCCCCCTGCCCCCCGTTGGAGATTTCTCGCCCTTGGCATCTCGATGGGCCCGCAAGGGCTCGCGTTCTCGATCCGCGTTCTTGTGGCCATGTCTCGTCCGCGCACACGCGACGATGGGCTTAAACTGCGCGCGCGTGGTTTACTAACATACACCCATTACGAACGCACGCGCGCACGCGCAAACACGCATCACACTTGCTAAGCACCGATATCTGTAGACTGGGTTGCTCAAACGCAATGCGTGGTCACGCATCCCTTGCGCGTGGCTACTGAACACGCCCAGCGCCGCATGGCTTCTCGCCCTGTCAAGAGAGGCAGGCGACGACGAAATAGTTTTCTCGACTTCGAGTCGCGCATCCCCAATCATGAGATCGACGAGTTTCGTGAACACGTTCAGGGCATGAGGGTGGCGGGAACAAAGTTACTGTCTCACCTTCAAACACTTTACGCATTTGGAAAGATAAATGCGCAAGTTTTTTCGGTAGCGTGCCACTGGGCCGATGAGGCAAACTGCTTGGGCGGGGATTTTTTCAGGTTCTCTCGGCCGCCCGGGCTCCAGAGCGGTCGAATTTGGGTCAGCGGCAAGAAGCCAGCTCTGAAAGATTCCGCAGCGTATCCTAGTGAATTTGCTCTTGCGATCGCCGAGACAGCACAGCTCTGCGTCGCGTCGGTGTCAGCTGCTAGCGCGTCTGGGGGACTGGCGGACTGATCGGAGTCATCCTGGAAATGCCAAATGAATCGAAATGCATTTTGCCTCGGGGCGCGCGGCGCTTCCTGCGCTCAACGGCTCAACGGGGGCTCAACGGGGCGGGCGTTGATCCATTGAGCGTCGCTCCGCCGCTCGCTCATATCGCGGAGAAAGCGGCTCGATGGATCCACACCTGCCCCGTGGAGCCACCGTTGAGGCGTTGAGCACTCGAGGGTTTGCCTTTGCGCGAGTGTGAGCTCCTCAGCGCCCGCCTGGGAGTTCAACGGTTTGAGTGCCCAAGAGGGCCCGCGTGGGGCCCCGCGCACTTGCGACGGCTCAACGGCTTCAGTGGAGCCCAACGAGATAAGAGTTGTTTCGTTTGACATCTCGCCTCGACGCGGGCTCACGAAGCCCTATGCATGGGAGCGGCTGGGACGGGCGAAGCCCTCGCTATCTAATGGCCTTCGGCCTATCCCGCCACCGTGCCTGGGTTGTGCGTCAGACGATGTTTAAATCGTCGCTGGGATCTCTTGGTGCGCCTCTTGGGGGCTTCTGGGAAGCAGCCTTGAAACCTCTTGGGTGCCGTTTCGGGGCCTCTTGAAGTCTGTTGGAGCTCTCGCTGCATTAAAAACTCTTCCTGGTGTTTCTCGGGTGGGGTTTTGCGTCGCGCATGCGTAGTCTCTGTTGGCCCGTGCCGTGCGTAGAGCGAGAAGGGGGGAGGGGGAGAGAGGAGAAAGAGAGAGAGAGAGAGAGAGAGAGAGAGAGAGAGAGAGAGAGAGAGAGAGAGAGA